GGTGGTGGTGGGGTTTGGGATACTTGTCATTGTTTAGGGGTATTGGTTGTAAATTGTTACTGGTTATGGTAAGGGAGGAAAAAAGCAAGGGAGGTTAGATTCAAGGATCTGTTTCTCAAAAGAAGAAGAGGTGATACAGAAATGACAGGATAAAAGGATAGATTATTAAATCTACTTTTAAACTAAAAAGTAACTATCAATCTCAAATATTTTACATTAGTATGGATTTTTGTATATTTATACAAATTTAAGATTATTTTTGTTATAACATGCTGTATATATGTTTCTACTCTTGTTTAAGGTATTTTTGTATATTGATAAAAATTTAAGGTTATTTTTGTTATAACATACTGTAAGGTAATGTACCTATGTGGCTCACTTAAAAATGTAATATAAATGTTCTTGAAAGCTATTATTATAAATTATTTAGCATAATTTAAAAATGTAGGTTAGTAGTTATCTATAACAATCAAACTTGTAGTCATGATAGGTATGTTTTCAAGGTTAAACAGAGACATTTTTAGATAGATAGATGCTCTTCAACACTTCAGAGACCTACCAAATGTAGGATTTAAGAAGTTTTAATAACACAAGGCTTTTCATGACAGTGAGGTATATCTGTTCCTGGCAGCATCAATTTACTTCAGAGAAGATGATGGGCATTGAAGAACCTCCATATGGAGTTTGCTTTCAATGTGGCAAAGCCAACCATTGGGCAAGAAACTGCCCTTGCCTCAATTGCTGACAGTATGCTGTCCACACTGGACAAGCAGGACACAAAAGAAGGTGACTGCCAAACTTTGCCTAGACAGGGTAAGACAGTTCTTCAAAAATTTCCTTCTTCACAAAAAAGTCTGTCAGATAGTCTAGGCCTGTAGGCCCAAGATAGATGCCCCAACGTTGCAGAGGAATCTTGGGTGACTATCTAGGCAGCCAGCTGTTTCTGTCATTTCTATAGTTTTGGAAGTTGTTTTCTCTGTACTTCCTGTTTAGTCAGGTAACATTATACCCTTCTCAAGTGTTTGATGGGGTTGAAGACTAGATAGTTATACTGTTTTCCTTGTTACCAAATTCAAAAAAGAAACTTACAAAAGAGATATCAAGTTTATAAGGTTGAGAGACATAAAAGCTTAAGTCATCCATCTAAGAAAATGTTTTTAGGTCTAAAAAGATACTTTTAGATTGGTAATACAAGTTATAATAGAAAGCGGTTATATATAAAACTTTGGACTTATCAAGAGAGATAGATAACAGAGCAATTTCTCTGAATTGCCAAATACGAATGGACTGAGTATTGTAAATGTAATTCTTACCTGATAATTGTTCTTATTGTATATAGTTTTACTATGTCAGAGTTAAAATCTTTCCTTTTTATTTAGACAAATGGGGGGAAATGTTGTGGGATATTTGTACAGTGTGTGAAGATGTGTTGTTGTGATTGGTTTAATAAAAAGCTGAATGGCCAATAACTAAGCAGAAGAAGTTAGGCTGGACTTGTGGGCAGAGAGAGAAACTGAAGGGATGAATCTAGGCACATGAGAGATGCCAGTGAGACACAGAGGGAGTCGGACATACAGAATAGAGGAGAGGTAGAAAGCCATTTGGCAAAATGTAGATTAATAGAAACTGGTTAATTTAAGTTATGAGAGCAAGCTGGGAACAAGTCTAAGTTAAGGCCAAACTTTCATAATTAATAAGACTTTGTGTCATTATTTGGGGGCTGGCGGTCCCAAAAGAAAGTCCGACCAGAAAGTCCAACTACAACTGTCTACAGTGAAGAAGGAGCCTTCTACTGACTGGTCTGCAAATAAGAGGCATCTTTACATGATTTGTGTGAAGGCGTCATAGAGGCCAGCTGTAAAACGGATTCCCTCTAGCTTCCAGAAGTGCTCCTTTGCTTGTTCCTGCTTCCTCAGATGCCCTTGGCAAGCTCAGCCTGGTCAAAACCAACCTGGAAACCACGACACCAAAGCTTGTGGCCCTTTTGGTGCTGTGTATCCCAGACAGTGGCACCTCCATCCAGTCATCTAGCCAGGGACCTGGCACTGACCTGTGTGCCTCTCTACTCCCCAGAATCCTCCAGTCCTGCTGATTCCAACTCCTGTGTCTGTTGAGTCTCTCTCCACCTCTCCTCATTTAGTCCTTGCTCTGAACAGTCCAAGATCCCCCTTCTTGATCTTTCTGTTCCAAACTTATTACACTTCCAAAACATCTCTGAAGTAAAGAGTTTTTTTTTTTTAAAGTCCTACAGTATCTTCTCATTTCCAACCAAAGAACAATACCACACACAAACCCAGCAAAGCCCTCTGTGAGCTAGCCACTCCTTCCTGCTCACGCTTCACCATGAGCCTCTCCACCTCTGTATCTGTGGCTTTGCACAGGCACAGCCCTCTAGCTCGGGTATCCTGCTCCACAGTTTTCTTCTATCCTCCTATCTTTTCCTCACCCTCTAAGACCCAGACCCAGCTACATCATCTAGCTAGGGCTTCACAAGGAGCAGATGTTCAACAAGTGTTCATTATATGACTAGAGAAAAGACGGATGTACCGAGTCATGAAATGGCTGACTGCATGTGGCAGTTTTCCTGTGAAACAGCTTTGTGTTTACATATTTCACACATGATACCTGTCATACTGTTATATGATATATAACATACCATTATGTGACATATAATACATCATACTGTTATATGATAGCTACTTGTCTACATATCCATCTCTGCAACCGTGAGCTCCTTAGGTGAGTCCTAGTGTTTAGCTCACTCTGAATGCTCAGCTCCATACACAGTGGACAATATTTAGAGATACAGGGAGAAAATGTAGCAAACAGGATGCCAACATTCATGAGCCATCTAAGGCTACGTAGTGAGATCCTGTCTAAAAGACAGGTAGAGTGGGGAGAGATGCCTAGGCCATGAGGGCACTGCCCTCATGACCATGCTGCCATTGGGGAACTATTCTGAAAAGCTAACGAAAGGCAGGGATCATCTTCTCCCTCAAAGTTAAGGGTTTGTAGAATTTTGCGTGGATATTTGGATTAGGAACTTCAGTCAAAAAAGTGTTTCCATAGCCGAGCGTGGTGGCAGATGCCTGTAACATCAGCTCTATAGAGGCAGAGGCAATGTCAGCCTGAGATGCACGGTGAGTCCCAGGCCAGCCTGGGCTTATCAAATGAGAAGATGTCTCAAACAAACAAACAAACAAACAAACAAACAAACAAACAAACAAGAATCAGAACGCATTTCTAAGCTGGGTGAGGTGGCTCATGCCTGTAACTCAGGATCTGCAAAGCAGAGGCAAGAAGACTGTAAATTGGAGTCTAGATGGAGCCAAAGATTAAGACCTTGTCTCAAAAACCAAAAATACCTCACTAAACCAGATGGGATGGTACATGCCTTATAATCTCAGCACTTGGCTGAGGCAGGAGAATCATTCCTTTGAGGCCAACCCAGGTTGTATAGTGAGACTCTGAATCAAAAAAAAAACAAAAAAACAAAAAACAAACAAACAAAAAAAAGCCCAGGAGAGGTGGCACACATCTTTAATCCCAGTACCAGGGAAACAGAGGCAGATGGATCTCTTAATTTGAGGCCAGTCTGGTCTATGTAGCAAGTTCCAGGCCAGCCAGAGCTACACAGTGAGACCCTGTTTCAAAACAAAACAGAAAATCATCCTAAAAAGCCAAAAGGAGGGGTTGGGGATTTAGCTCAGTGGTAGAGCACTTGCCTAGCAAGCGCGAGGCCCTGGGTTCGGTCCTCAGCTCTGTTAAAAAAAAAAAAAAAGCCAAAAGGAATTCTAAAAGAAAGGGGTTGGGGAGGAAGAGGAAGAGAGGAAGAGAAAGCAAGTGAGAAGCAAGGGAGTCCCTGTAGTTGATTCCTGACTGGTGTCTATACTGAACTACACTCATATCTCAGGCCCCTCCCAATTCCGTATGTCACTATAGCATTTTAACATAGAGTCAGCTGCTTACATCCAATTTAAAAATAAGCAAGGGTCTGAGTTTCTCCAAAGAAAATACATAAATGGCCAATAAATTCATAAAAAAGATGTCCAACATATCACTTACTAGTCATTAGGAAAACACAAATCCAAACAACAGGGATATAGCACGCCACCCCCACAGGATGGCTAAGATGGGAAAAACAAAGAGATGTCACTAAGTGTTGAGGACAGGGATAAGCTAGAATCCTGCACATTCTGTCGGGGATGTAAGACAACAGTATAGCCACTTTGGAAAACAGCCTAGTAATGTATCCAAATGATAAACACAGAATTATTATGTGAAAGAAAAAATCACTCCTAGGTATATGCCCAATAGAAATGAAGCATAAATCTACACAAAACTGTGTACAATAATTCAGATAAGAGAACATAACAGTCCAAAATAGAAGCAATCTGCCCATCAATTGATGGATAACCACAGCATGGATGTCATTCAACAAAAGGGAAAAAAGTCCCCACGGATACTAAAATATGGCTAGACCTTGATACCACCATGCTAAAGTGAATGAAGTCAGCCACACAGGACAACATGCATGATGCCATTTGAATGAAATGGCCCAAACAGGCAAATCTAAATGCAGAAGGCAAACTGTTGGTTATTTGGGGGGTAAAGGTGGTTTGTGGGGATGACCACTGGTGGGCACAGTTCACCCACCGAACAGGCATTCTTTGAGAACCCACTCTATACCAGGCTCTCGGCTAAACGGCCAAGACACAGCGATTAATAACCTTAGTCTCGGGCTGGCAAGATGGCTCAGTGTGTAAAAGCACTTGCTGCCAAGCCTGACGACCAATCATTGATCCCCAAGACCCATGTGGTGGAAGGAGAGAACTGACTCTGGAAAATTGTCACCTGACCTCCAATAGGCTCCGAGGCATATGTGCCTCCCCCCAATAGATAAATGTAATAAAACTATAAATAAACAGATAAATAAATTCAGGCCCTGTGTTGATAAATTTAAGTGTTTGGGGAGGAAGACATAAAATTGCTACATAGATGATTACCAGTATGATAAGCTCTGCTTAGATCCACCTGACAGCTGTCACCTGGGACTATAGAAATACTAACAGCAGGCCTGAGGGCTAAAGCTAGCTATGAAGGACCTCTTTCTTAGAACCAGAAGATCAGGAAAGGGGCCCCAAAAGGAAGGCCAGGCTAACGAACAGTGTGGGCTTACCAATACCACCAAGGGGAAGTAATACTACACGCTCCTCAAGTCTTCAGAAACCAAGCCCAGACTTCCCAGTAGGGCCTCCTCACAGCTGAATAATGCAAGATAAACAACCCCAAGAATAAACATATAGTCATGCACAAACCACAAGCGGTCTCACTCGGTCTCTTTCACATCCACTAGCCTGTGCTCACATGTACCATATACAACCACAACCATGACCCACACTTCAGTCCCACACCCCTAAAAGTATATAAACACTTGACATAAATAAATACACACAGGCCACCATACCCAGCTGGCTCCTGCTCCAATCTTCACTCTCTGGGGTGTTGGCAGTAGGCTGTCCCTCTGGATCTTTTCCTTCTCCTTGCTTCTGCAGAAAGAAAGCCTGACTCCAGCTTCCTGTCCTCATGGGTTGGGATGTAAGTTCAGCCTCTGGTCCCTGGCCCCTGCCTGGCTATCTGGTCCAATGTTATGCCCGAAATTGGAAGAGTTTCCTCTAGGGTACTACAAGATCTCTGCTCTTGCAGCCAGTCATTGTTTGGGTCTGTACCATTGGGGGAGGTATAGATTCGTGAGTACACGTACCCTTGTCACACAGCCTGACTACAACTCTCATTCCCAGATGGGGAAACTGAGTATGTGAACATCTGCTCTGTGCTGATTTTACCTGCCTGAGAGAACCTTCCTGATCTACAGCTTCAGCCCTGTGTTTCTTGACCTCTCATTTTAGTACTAGACTCCAGAGCTTTCTTTTTCCACGGCCACACATCTGCCAGTTCCCTTGTGTGTGCTGTAACCCTGACACCAGGCCAGGATGGGAGCCACAGAAAACTAGGAGAGTGATTTGTAGGAGGTGTGGTCAGGAGGTAGAGGCAGAAAGATAGGGGTTAAGGCCAGTCACATCTACTGAGTAAGTTCAAATCCAGCCTGGGCTATATACTAACTGATTCCTTCCTTCCTTCCTTCCTTCCTTCCTTCCTTCCTTCCTTCCTTCCTTCCTTCCTTCCTCCCTTCCTCCCTTCCTCCCTTCCCTCCCTTCCTCCTTTCTTCCATCCTTTAATTAGGTCTAATACCTGATTCAAAATGGAACTAGAAAATATGGGAGTAGGTCACAACAGGAGCGCCAACCCCCATCTTCGATTGACAAGACTACAAAACTGAGGCTCCACCTTCACATTTCTCCCCCTGAGCCCCTCTTTTTACCATGGCCTCTGGCTCCGACTCCTCTGATGGGCTCTGGTACTCCCTATGTTTCCTCTTCTTCATGGGTTTTAGGAGCTCAGAAGCGATGGTACAGCCTGAGTTCTCTACTATGACTGACCTACAAAAGGAACGGTCTCATTTGAGAAAAACAAAACAACAATAAAAAAAATCCCAAAAAAACCTATACAGTTTATAGTATATAGTGTATCCACATTTTCCTAAGCACAGAGCTGGAAAGGGACCTTAGGGGCTCAAAACCTGGTGAGAAAGGCTGTAACCTGTCGATCTTACCGCTTCTGAAAAGGCGGAGGGCAGTGGTCGCCTGAAGAACCCAGGTCTGGGGCAGTGCCTTGTTGAGGCCCACAAGTCTGGCACTCGCAGGAGCTCGCGTCCTTTGGGGGTTCCTGAGAGGTGACTTCTTGAGGGTTCCGGTGGACATCTTCTGTGGGAGCCCACTGGGCCTTAGTCTTCCCATCCCTGGACAACCACATCCAGGCTCCGCCCACATCCCTACAGCCCATCTCCTACTGGCCAGCATCCTTCAAGCCTTCTCCGCTTAGGACTGCCTCTGGTTACATTCCCATCCAAGAGTCCTCAGGAAGCTCGAGCCTCACCCACCCACGCATTGCCCCGGGGAGCAGGATCCTACCAGGGTGCTGGGTGTCCGTATCGCCTCCAGTAGGGCCACCTTCATGTCGGACCAGCCCTTCTTGCTGTCGTTCCGGGCATGGTGGTCGTTCTATTCCCATCATATTCAGTGGCGCGTACTCGCTTATCCGGAACTAGGGATGCAGAAAATTCTGAGGACTGTGACTTCTGCACTAGCTCTCTACCCACCTTGGGTCACCCACACTTTATTTTGCTCTGCCAGCTACACTTCAGGTCTATAGACTCCGCCCACTCCTCCCCAACCACGCCTCCACCTACGGAGCCAGTCCCAGGATGAGTCACTCTAAACCACGCCCACCATCCTCAGCCTTTCCGCCTCAAGCCCCGCCTTCAAGCCCACATGCCCCGCCCCACAGCTGCCAATCCTCTTGGGCACTAACCCGTAGGCCACTCCCGGCTGAAGGTGTGGAAACCCCTGTCCAATCCAGAAGCCTGACTGTGCTATTGGTCCCCGGCCCGGTGCTTAGCTGTGGCAGAATGGTGGCAGTAACTGGTTCGCTGGTGCTGGTCACCCGCTCCAGGGTGCCCACATGGACTGGCTCCCTGGGATAGGACACATCCAGGGCTGTGCTGGGCAGACCAAGGGTAGCTGCATTGGCTAGAAACAGATACACAGATAAGACAGGGCACAGATGAGCCTGGTGACCCGTGCAGGTGAGAAGCAGAGCCTAGTGGCACATGCCTTTAATCCCTGCACTCAGGAGGCAGAGGAGGCAGATCACTGAGTTCGAGGCCAGCCTGGTCTACAGAGTGAGTTCCAGGACAGCCAGGGCTACATAGAGAAACCTTGTCGCAAACAGAACAAAACAGAACAAAGCACAATAATAAAAAGATGGAAAATTGTCATCCTCATCTGCCCTCGATCCACACCCTCTTGAGCAAGCATGTGACCTCCAGACCTCTGACCTTGACTTACTAGGAATAACAAAGGCAGTTGCAGGCAGGGGAGGACGGGAACCTGCGCTGTCTCTGGCCACCAGGTGCACACTGACCTCCCCTGTGGAAGATCCCTTCAGTGTCCTTAGTATCTCCATTTCCGTGTGCCCCTCCATCCAGAAGAGTCTACAAATCAAACACAGCCACCAGGATGATGAGGATGGGGAGGGAAGGGCTTTTTGGAGGAGAAACTGGTCACTTTCACATCAGCAACATGCAGAGAAAGGTCTCATCTCTGAGAGGAGTAGAATGTCCTAGGACACCAGCATCAGGTCTGACTCCTGGCCTTCACCCAGGTTATACAGAACTCTGGCCAGGCCCTGCATCTTCCCCTGCCCATTATTTGTGGCATAAATGGCATGTGTGAGGATACCATACACACTGTGTAGAAATGGCTCATAGGAAGTGTGATTCAGGCCAAGGTTGTTTTGGCCAGTGACAAAGCCCAGGCTAAGTCCAAATCATCTCTTTCTTGATTCCCCACTTCCGTTCCCTTTCTTTGAGGACTCAAGAGTCTTCAGGTACCACATTCTCCTCTATCCAAACAAGGTCGGTCCTTGTGGAAGGTGGCATCTTTCCTGATCTTGTTCGTTCGTGTTTCCCTGTGCACTACTCCCACCAAACCCAGACGCAGCCACGAATGATTAGTTGAAAGAGGGGTGTAATGCCTCGGTGGAAGCCTCTCTTGAACAAATGCATGTACCTGAATAGCAAAAGTGTAGCAATATGAAAACCCAGTCAGTGCAAGGTCCAGAAGCTAGAGGTATAAGCTTATTGGCAAAGCACTTGACTAGCATGCATGAATCCTGTGTTCAAATCCAGCAGACAGGTTGGGGGCTGGAGAAGAGGAGGGGAGAGGAGGGAAGGAGAGAGAACAGTACTCTGTAGCATGGTTGCTACTCAGCTGTCCCTTAGCAGCCACGGCTTAAATGGGAAGGAAGGAGCATGAGGCTGAGTCCAGGACAGAGTCTTGAGTTAGATGCTCAGCTTCTCTACATTTTCACCTGTGACTCCAGAGAGCAGCTTTCCCACTCTGGGCCTCAGTTTTCTTTTCTTTGCCTTTTTTTTTTTTAAACACATGGGATATATATTTTTTAAGATTTATTTATTTATTATACAATGTTCTGTCAGTGTGCATCCCTGCAGGCCAGAAGGGGGCACTAGATCTCATTACAGATGGTTGTGAGCCAGGGTTTTTTTTTTCAAGACAGGGTTTCTCTGTGTAGCTTTGGAGCTTGTCCTGGATCTCACTTTGTAGACCAGGATAGACTCGAACTCACAAAGATTCGACTGGCTCTGCCTCCCAAGTGCTGGGATTAAAGGTGTGCGCCACCACTGCCCGGCGCTTTTTTAATTAATTAATTAATTAATTAATTAATTAATTAATTAATTAATTATATAGTGTTCTGTCTGCATGTATGACTGCAAGCCAGAAGAGGGTACCAGATCTTATTGTAGATGATTGTGAGCCACCATGTGGTTGCTGGGAATTGAACTCAGGACCTCTGAAAGAGCAGCTAGTGCTCTTAACCTCTGAGCCATCTCTCCAGCCCCAGCCTCAGTTTTCTTAACTGTAAAATAAAATAAACGTGGTAATGGCACCTACCTGAAGGGGCTCTGGTGAATGCTGGCTGTGAGGTAGAGAAACCAGCAAGTCTTTGACAAATAGAACTCCACTCCCTTTAGACAGACACTCAGGTTGGTTGCCAGCTTCTAGCCAATACCATGGACACTGCCCACTTGCAAAATCAGGTTGCAATGGCTGCTGTCTTGTGCCTACCCTCCACCCCCTTGCTGTTCTTGTGTGCTCATTTATTTCCAAGAGTTTCCTCCCTAAAATGGAATATATTACAGATGTCTATCATTGCAAGTATAAAGCCATGGTATAAACAGATAAGGTCAGATATGTGGCCTAATTAAAGAAGCATTCAACCCAAACAAGATGAATTTATAATTCAGAATTCCCCAAATTTCAATCCAATTTACTTTGCTTTTCACAGCTTAAGTGTTTATACCACTTAGAAATATTTACTCTTATTTTATGTGTACAGTTCTCTTACTGGAACGTATGACTGGGCACCACGGGCATGCAGTACCTGCTGGGACCAGAAGAAGGCTTCTGATGCCCCTGAAACTGGAGCTCCCGATGGTTGTCAGACACTATGTGGGTGCTGGGAACTGAACCTGGGTCCTCTGCAAGAGCAACAGGTGCTCTTAACCCTGAGCCACCTCTCCACCCATGCCTTTGTACCACTTTTAGTGATTTTAAATAGAATAAATCTTTTATTTAAGATACTGACGATCATGAAGAGTGGCTGCTTATTCAAAGAACTCTTTCAAAAACCAGTCCCATGTGGCAGGTGTCTCAGAGAAGCAGCTGAAGATGCCCTTTCCGACAGGGCTTGCTGTCTGCTCTCAGCAAGTCCTGGAGAACCAATGAAGTGCCAGCACTGCTCTATGCTCTGGGGACACTGGTGCCACCAAGACAGAGGGCTCTCATGAGGCTTATACTTTAAAGACAAAAGGAGGAGGGTGGAGCTGGAGACACACTTGAAAGTTGTTGTACACAGATGATATTTAAGACATAGAAGGGAATGCAGAGAAAAGAGTGGAGCCTTGGAGCACCAAAACAATTGCAGGTTGGGAGGGCAACAGAGATCCAGTGCCAGTGTGAAGAAAGCCTGCAGTGAGGGGGAGGGGAGTCAGAGGAGGCCCCCTTCTGGAGACTAATGGAGATAACCATCAGCCACCAGCCTCAGGTTCTCCGGGATTGGCCAGGGGACTCTCATTCAAATGTTCTCTCCCCAAATCATCTCCCCTCTAGATGACCAGATGACAGAGGCCTATAAAAGCCCCACCCCTTTACCTTCATTCAAGGCATCTCTGCAGGGTCGTCTCAGGGTTAGGGCGTGCTGCTCCACAGGCTGAGGCCTCTGTTGAGATTCTACCAGCATTTTACCATCTCTGTTCCATCTTGCTGGCTTCACAAGGCTACTCCCATAAACCTACACTGAAATCTGTGTTTCCAGGGAATCCTACTTAAAATGAGAGTAGTTGCACATATCAGATGTTCAATAAACATTTTTTTTTTTTGTTTTGGTTTTTTGAGACAGGGTTTCTCTGTGTAGCTTTGTGCCTTTCCTGGATCTCGCTTTGTAGACCAGGCTGGCCTCGAAATCACAGAGATCTGCCTGGCTCTGCCTCCCGAGTGCTGGGATTAAAGGCGTGCACCACCACCGCCCAGCAACAAACAATTTTTGAACGTGTCCACGCTGCTGTCTCTTGCTGTCTGTCAAGCTTTCCACACACACTCCACCCAGAGCCCTTTGAGGCCTTGTATACAGTAGACACCCAATAAATGCCCTGGTGGTAAGTATTGGAGAGAGGGGAGATAGTGCTAGAGGCACACAGAAAACTTGGGGGGGGTGTCCCCTAGCTCGCTCCCGCCAAAGCTGCAATGTGACGCTAGCGGGTGGAGTGTCCAAAGCCGCCACCAGCCTCCCTAGACTAACTAATGCAGACAGTCGCGGGCGGGGCGGTCACTGATCCATCCGCTCTGCAGAAGGGTTACTTTTTTAAAACGCCAAAATGGCGGAATTCTTTAGCTTTTTCTTTCTCGCTTTATAGCCAATTTTGTTTAAAATCTCATTTTCTGTTAAAAATATTGAAAATTAATGACAGCGGAAAGTTTGCCAAATGGCCTATGGAAACCCCAAACTCGCCCTCCACACCCTCTCATTAATGGAAACTCTTAATTGATTACATCTCTTTGCAAGGCCGAACCTCTGTCCTCCCCGCCGCTCTGGATGCAGATAGCAGTGCCCGTGGGCTCGCTCGCCCGGCATCCCGCAGCCCCCACAGGCAGCGCCCATCCCTGGGTCTGCGGAGTCACCACCCCAGCCCGCGGTCGGTGCGGCAGGAGCCGGGAAAGGACCTGGGGCGGGGCCCACAGGATACCAGCACTCGCCGCGCCGGCCGGCCGGGACCCGGGTGTGATGTTCCGGGAACACCCAGCCCGAGCCCACCGACCCGTGCTTACCTGCAAGGCTAGCGAGCGCAGCCCGCGCCAAGTGACCGTGGGAGCCCGGTGCGGCGCGCGCCTGCGCACACAGGGGGGCGGGCCCGTTCCCTGCAGAGCGCAGCGCGGAGCTCCTTAGCCGCCTGGTCTGAGCGGCCATGGACCCATGTTGCCGCTTTTGCTTTCGGTCGGAGCTGGGGGGTGGGGATGGGGGTGCAGGCTTAATTGCCACTTCCTAACGGGACCCGCTAGCTTCTCGGGAGAAGTGGGTGGAGATTCTTACAGTATTCTGGGAATCACGGAGCCTGGAGCAGCACCCAGCCAGATGGACCTCCAGCTGAATGGTCTGTACCAGGCAAAGCGCACCCCTGCATACACCCGGGTCCCACATTTGGAGAAGGGGACTTCAGGAGTTTTGGGCAACTCTCCTAGGACTGGTGAAGAGCACGCACAGCAAGAGCAAGGAAGCCTGGCACCCGGCGGGTCTGGCCTTCAGCTTGGCTGGCATGAAGGACCCCAGACGTGCCAGCCCAAATTTGGGTGACCCACTGCCACTGGCTGATGTGTCCTGGCACCCCAGACGTGCCAGCCTTTGGGTGACCCACTGCCACTGGCTGATGTGTCCTGGCAACATCACAGTCAATACTGGAAGGCTGTCATGCTGTGTTCCAGAGTTCGATAATGGTTCCTGTGGTGTTGATTCCAACAAGTCACCGGCTCCTCTTTTGCCCTCCATTTCCCTAACTCATGGTCTCTACCAGACCTCTACTTTCATTGGTTCTTATTCCGGCCCCAGGGCTGTAACGTCACAGAGACTTGAGTAATTCAAGAGTTTAGGAGGGCCTGCGCTCTAGGATGAAGGAAACCCACCAGTTTTTAGTATTCTCAGTTCCTAGCAGAGTGGGTACTAATTAATGTCTAATTGATTCTTCAGTGGCCCACTTTCCCCTTACACACTGGTTTTTAATTTTACCCCCTTATTTCACAGAAAAAGAAGCAGGTCTATTTGGCTCTTAGGTGGTAGCTATCAGCCAAATCCTTAGACTCCCAGACTAGATGAAAAATAGTTAAATGGTAAATTCTCCCATTTGCTGTGACCAACAGTTTAAATTTATGCGGATTTTAAATGTTCTTTTCATGTGTTCTGTCTGGCCTCAACGGTTTTAATCACATTTTGTGTTCATAGGAACAAGATTAGTCAGAAAAAGGAGATTGCCATAATCATAGAAGCCTCTTTATATACACCAACACACAACCATCACAGTTGTCTTTTATCTCTATTCAGACTCTATTTAAGATTCCAAGATGGTTAAGTATTAAAGGGGTAAACCTATTAGAACACGATTTCTTAATTACAATCCATGTTTCAGTGATTCAAACAGATGTATAGAATTTGAGCAGGTGGGATCCAGAAACAGCCCACATAGACTTCAGTTGCTATTTTCTGCCCATTTACATCCTCATTAGTCTTAATACCTGTTGTTCATTCCAACACCTTCAGGGATGGAGAGCCGCTTCCAAGCTGATGTGATGTGGGCAGCTCTGTTCCTATGTTCACTTTACCCTCTGGTCCCAGCTTGCCTTTAGGAGAGAGTGAGCAAGTCCAGTGCTTCCTTCACATTCCAACCCCTCCCCAAGAATGGGCCCAGATGGTGTTGGCATAGAGAATCGTGGAGGAAACTGTTGTTTGGAAGCAGCCCACACTTCTGTTTCATTAGGAGTTGAAGTCATTGTTGCAGTAGTTCAAGGGTCTCAGAATAACAGGGTTTTGCCCTTCACATGTGGAAACATTTCTGCTTCCACAGACACGTCAGATTGTGCAAATCTGGAACCCTTCTAAGAGACACCTAAAAAAGCTACATAAAATATCACAAGGGGTCTTGGAGAGGTGGCTCAGTGGTTTAGAGCACTTGTTACTATTGCTGAGAACCTAGGTTTGCCATGTGGCTCATAATCATCTGTAACTCTAGTTTCAGAGGATCTGATGCCAACTTCTGTGGTACACATGCATACATACATACATAC